ATTTTGTAATTTGTAACGAATAATCGATGAGCCTTCAATTTGTCTTAAGAAACTTGCTTGTAGTGCGGGTGATAATAGATCTTGATAAACAATAAATCTGTAGTTGAGAGGCATTTATCAGAGAATACGCAATCGAACTCGACGGCATAGAGACTACAAAATTAAATGTTAGTTGGCTCAACAGTGTTGCTGTCGAGAAGAGTCTAACACTACTCCATCTCATCCACTTGTCCCTCTATACTGCTCCGACAGCACAATTCAGCCGAGTATTCCAAAGCTCCGAAATTTCGTTGGCCTGTTAGCAATTTCTATAGAAGATGGCCAAACAGTGCAAGCTATCTGTCGCAGAGCTGTTCTCTCGATAAAGAACTCAATGTGATTCAGGAAGATGGAGGTTCTTATTGAATTTTCTATGCAACTTTATTACTTTTTACTACTACTTACTAAATATTATTTGCGCTTCATAGCCACTGTAGTCTATTGTTTATCCTAAGCCACCTCGGAACGCTTGATGCATTTTTATGAGGAGCTTTCTAGCTCATATCATTAATACACACGGAGCGGGTGACGTTATCTGGTCAAGCCTGAACTAGAACTCGGACGGAGCTGGAAAGCACATCTGAGGAGAGAAGCTCTAAGTATATTGGGTTTATAAAAGAAGACTTCTCCAACTTGTTGAACTGCATATACAAAGGACTATTCAAGCATAGTGGCGAAAAATTAACAATGTTTCATGTATCAGTTTTTAACAGACTACTCGTATGGCCAATAATCTGGTCACATTTTCAACAAATATCTAGAGGTCGAGCAGGAATAAGAAGGTATGTGTGCCCTATTTCCCCTGCAAGATATACATAGCACGAACTGGAGCCTCAAACCCAACCAGGTTGATATACTCATATGCGGCCATTCTAAGACCAATCCTAACATATGAAGCGTTGATTTGGTGACCAGCGACGGATACGCTGTACCATCTTGTCGAAAATGTTCCTGTGGCCGGAAATTGAAATTTTTGTGTTGACGTGGGAGCCAAGTCGTGACAGGAGATATATCGTCTTGTTCTCGTTCATTACCAGACCCATATCTTTCGCCTTTTTATCCAGTCTGGAGAAGGCAGGACTTACGGTGCGGGAGTTGAGGCCAATAGAAGATTGCTAGCTCTGCAGCACGATAAGGAATCACCCTGTCTAAAACCTCGTTTGATATCGGATGGCTCGGAGAAGTCCTTCCCGATATTGACAGAGCTTTTAGTGTTGCTTAAAGTCAGTTTACATAGCCGTTCAAGATTTGCGGGTATACCAAATGCAGACATATATAATTCGTGCTGTCGAAGGCGACTTTAAAACCGACGAAGAGTTGGTGGGGGTCGATCCATATTTTACGGGTCTTTTAAACAATATGGCGCATGGTGAATATCTTGTAAATAGTAGACATATCATGTCTGAAACCACACCGATATAGTCAAATCAGTTTGTTGACGGTTTGAATAGTTCTGCCGGTTGGCTTTCAACTCCAGTCGCTTTGTTGTTTGTTATGCGGGCGATTGCTATTCGAACTTCTTCATGTTCATCTAGTAGAACGTCTTTTCCATCGTTATCGATTGGGATTTCGTGTTCACCATCCCCAGATACTCCATTTTCGTTGCTATTCAGCACTCTGGAGAAATGTTCTCTCCATAAATTCAATATGCTCAGGGCATCGGTGGCTAGACCACCTCTATCTGTTCTTCAGGAGTCTATTCCGATTTTGAAACCTTCAGTCATCGTATCTTCACATAGAGTTTTCGGACACTTGTCGGCCACCTTCTCAAACTCTTTATACTCATGCATCTCAATATCTTTCGTTTTTTTTGGCTGCAGATGCGTCTTTCTTCCCTCATCTGCTCTCGATATCTCTCCCATCTCGTTAATTATGCCCCCGGACTTCATTTGAAGAAAAAGTTCAAATCTCGTTGCAAATACAGCTAAATTTCGGACTAAATGGAATTTATGTCTCGCTAATACACAATTTTCCAGGGAAATCAACAAACGTCAATAGATACATATACATAAATATTTAATTCACAAATCTTTGATACTAATATTTACATATTTATTCATAATGTATATTTCATATCATATGTATGTGCGTATTTTAGTAAATATTTTCATAAGTGTTTTGTAATTAGGTGACAGTGATTGCAAATTATCGCTTCAGGTTGCCACAGACATAATTGTTGCCGGCGCCATAAATTGATACGCTGATACAAATGTACATACTCGCCTGTATGTATGTATGTATGTATAAACACACACAATAAACGAAGTAAAAAAACCTCACACATTTGTGCAGTAAACGCAACAATTTACCGAGTTATCTACAATGAAGTGTTGGAGCAGAAAACCGCGCATTGCATTTGTTTACATACGCACAATCACACTTGCCCATATGCCTTTTGTCTGTATGTATGTGCCACTGCGACTGTAGACCGTGGAGCGATATCAATGATGCTGAGTTGATGTGAGATGGAGAGAGCGTAGTTGAGAAATCATGAGTATTCGAGAGCAATAATCAGCAGCCGTAACAGACGAAGAGCTTCGGAGAGTCAATAGAGCCTAAGCAAAAATGCCGCTGGTTATTGTAACCTTGACCAATTAAGGAAGGACCAATTATAGCTAGATTCAGCGTAGTAATATACACGGGTACATACATGTGTAATTCAAAAGTTTTCTGTTGTTCTAATGTCTTTAACAAGATATTGGATTAGATTATGTCTTCCAATAGAAAAGCCTACACCACTATTTTGTCTCTACATTTCGTGTCTCTAAACACTATCTACAGATTTGTAGATGCTCAAGAACTTGCCAGAATCGCCTATATAATATTTTCCGAACAAATCTCTTCAGCTTCCAATGTTATCAGTATTCATGCATCACCATCAGAGCGCAACGTTTTCTAGCAACTTTCAATTTTTTTCTTCTTCAAAATTTTAGATGGAAAGAATCTTATTAATTTCTTATTGCGACTTCGTACAACCTAAACTCTACTACCTTATATGTCTCCGTAGATTCTGTGAGATCTTGTTTATTAGCGCAGACGCCGCTTACTCATTAACGGCCGATTTATTAATAGCATAAAATCCTATCTTCTTTTCGCTGGAGTGTTCTTTCCAATGGAGTGTACGTCCTTCCTCTTCTCCTACTTCCACCGGCAGGAGCTGCGTCCAAAATTTTCCAAGGCTGGGTTGTTCTCATCCATTGCAACACATAACCTAGCCAACGTAGCCGCTGTCTCCTAACTCGCTGAGCTCATGGCACGATTTCCTACGGTATTCGCCATTGCCAATACATTAAAAGACATAAGTTATACGCCAAACATTTCTCTGCTGCCATTTTCCATGCCACCGAAAGTGCGCTTGTTATTGAATACGATAGTGGATTTACTTACTCACCTAGCGAGGTTGTGGGATGGGTTTCAACACCATCTCGTCGTACCGATATATGTATACATCTCCCCTCCGTAGTGAATGTCAAGCTCTCCGAGTGTATTTCAGCCATAAAATAAAAGCTCCTTATTAAAATCTATAGACCTTTCGAAGGCGGTCCCTCCATTTGTTGGAAAATATCAAGGTGCATATCACAAATTAAAGGAGGAGCTCATATCTTCAGCGGTTATACAGCGCTAATTACATATACATAAAGATCTCTACTTCCTGGTTCCACCTGATTTCGTGAACATAATCTTTTGACTTTTATCTTTACATGATCTCACCAAAGGACGACCTCCAGTTAATTCGCCAGTATCAGTCCTATCTAACTACAACGAAAGTGTGGAGTATTCGTAAAGGAAGTGTCATATGATTTCAGATTCATGCTACTAATGAAAGGTCGCCGAATAGAAGGTAGAAACTAGAAAACTTATAGTTGTAGACATCTTTTACCTTTTTAGCGCGATAAAGTCTCCTGAGCTTTCCTTTAACACATGATGGCCACATTGATTTGATCACATTAGAACTGTTGAGACTTTTCATTCGTCACTTACCTTACAAGAGGATTGCGGCATTGCGGTGTAAAATTTTATGTCTTGCATATCTTTGTTTATGATTTTCTGGAAGTACCATTGAGCTACTAATTCCGCCTAAACACTTTTGAGTTCACAACCCGTATTTCTTTTATAATGAGCACTTGAGAATCACCCTTAGAAAGGTAATATATCAAGGCCATCGAGACTCCTAAAGACTGATTTGTAGTAACCTCATTCAAAGTTGCTACTTACTCCTCCGTATGCAAGAAGGTGGTGTCAGCTGCAAGCTCCTCGTCGCTATATAGCAGATCCTCTGTCATGTACAAACTTTAGAAGACCTCTATTGGGTTTCGTTGAGTTGGGATATCACTATCGTAGAGTACTGTATCTTGCTCAAGCGCCGAGATGTAAAAAAAAACTGTATCCTTATCGGAGCGCTTGGGCAAAAGACATGCTATGCGTAACCGCAATGGGCATGGCTCTTAAGCTGATCCAGCCCTTACTGCACTCGGCCTTGACTTGTCTCCAAAGTCGACTACTGAGAGTACCATCTGTCTCCTCGGTCCATCCGCTTTTTCTGATCTCAATGCCTCCAATTTTTGGTTAGAAGTGAGGGTTTCTTAATCTGATGCATCCTTCAAATGCTCTCTACGTGCATTTATATTTAAGAAATTTCACCTTTTTGCCCAATCAACTTAATAATGAGTAGGCAACATTGTTCACATTCACCTGTTTGTTACTCACCTACCGTTAACTCAAATCATCTACTACAAGTTATACACATACATACATACTCGTGTAGAGCAACAAATATGCGCCTACGCTTACTTCACACAACCAGCTGCCGCAACGCATAAGTCAATACACCACACTCAGAGCGCGTTATCACTTGACCAAGTTTACGTTATTACACATACATACACACATAACCACTCACAATACGTATGATTGCGTACAAGTATGTGGCACTCCATACGCTACACATGAGCAGAGCAATACAGTCAAGAGCCAAGAGCCAAGATCAACAACGATCAAGCGAAACGAGTGAGCGTCGTATACAAGAACAAAACAGCTGAGCGATGGAGAGAGTTTTTAAAAACAGTTTAAAACTAAACTGCCTTGAGGCCAAGTCCAATAGTAACAAACGAAACTCTAAAGTGTAAACTGTTGTGCGATAGAAACGGGATATATGTACATACGAGTGCATACCTACATACGTATATATGTATAGTAGTGCATGCGTAAGTAACAGTGGGAATATATAAAAGTTATCATAATAAAAATAAAAATAGAAATAAAAATTAAAACTAAATAAAAAAAAGAAAAATATTAATACAAAGCGGAGCACATTAAAATCGTGGTAGTGAAAATGTTTACTGTTATGTTATTGATTGGCGATTTATATCTAGTTATATGAAAGCGTATCGATGGCGCGTGAGATTAATGGCAGAGAAAAGTAAAAATTAAATTTTTTCATGAAGTGCAATTTTCATATATGTATATATATTTAAAATATGAAAAGGCATAAAATTTTAATGGAAAATAACAAAAAGAAATAAATTTTATAACCGAAAAAGTGCAATTTCTACAAATATTGTTAATAAAGAATTTAGAATTAAATGATTGTGAATTTCGCTTTAATATTAAAGGTAAACTTTGTCAAAAAAAATAAAGAAATAAAACTGTTTAATGCGTCAAAGCGACTAAATAGTTAAATTAATTAATAAAAATAATATTTTTTAACAAAACAAGGATTATAACTAAGCAAGAAAAAAATTCCAAATTAAAATTATTCTAAATTTTGCTTAAAAAAAGGAAGTTTTGTCTGAAAAAAATGGAAAAAAACTGTTTAATGCGTCAAAGCGGGCCAATAATAAAAAAAATAAATAAATAAATAAAACAAAAAAAAAAATCCGCAAACCATTTTAAATCTGTACTACCCTTGCTAATACACCCAGGCATGCGCGGGTACGTGCTTTTTTGCATTTTACAGCCAACAAAATGAACGCTACTGACGCTAATCGCAATTATTATTGACGTTTTACATAAAAAATCTAATGGTTTGACATTCAAATCTATATAAATTGACGAAATCAAATAATTCCTGACTTTGTTTTTAACTAAAAAAATCTACTGTATGTATGTACACACGTTTGTTTGCCATTTAGCAGCTTTAACGTACGAAAGCAAATATGCTGAAATCAGTAAAGCTTGACCAGGTAAATCAGATATAAACACGCCAGAACAAATCAACAATGAAGTAAATAAATATAAAAAAAAAATAGAATTAAATCAAACTGAATTGCTTGTGAAATGTTAGTGACTAAAAATATAACGAATAAAGTGACTAAAGTTGAATGATAAAGATTACAACAAAACTAACATTGAAATGGAACGGAAACTAATAATTTAAAGTAACATAATTGTTTACACATTTTTTTTGTTTATAACTCGAAATTATTAAATCGTGTTTTGAACTTTTTTAAAAAATATTATTAACCAAAAAGTGAACATTAAAATACTTAAAAAATTCAAAATCTGAAAAATTTTATGAAAATATATGACAAAATAGTAATTTTTCATTCTACATACTATGTATATATGTATGTAAGTAACTCTGTTTGATATGTATAGTAATTCAGTGGAAATACCCAATCATAAGAATCCCCAGTAACTAAATTACTTTGTCATTAAATACCTGATTTGCGGTTATATAATTAATTTTTTTCATATTATTTATTGTTAGTGTATTACAATTGGTTTCAAATAAAGTGAAGATGTAGGAAAAGCTTAATACTAGTTATTAACTAGAAACCAATTGGTTTGCAGTTTTACGCCAACCAGTTCACCCTCCCCCCATTTTCCTTTTAAGCAACAGGTATTTTTAATACGGCGATGTCCTACGAGCTGCATCAGCTTTGAACTAGTTGAACACTAGTTCGCTCAGGCACATTGAATTTTTGCTTCACTATGAGAGCACAATAAAGAATGGAACTCAGTCGTTGCGTACAGATATTGTGGTAGAAATAATTAAATGATACTTTAGTACAAAATGTAAGCTATCTTTCGACGTTGTAGTCATTTCCTTCTATGCAGGAGTTGAAGGGTGGTATACATTTTTTGACACCTTCCTCGAAGTAGTTTCCCGCCAACACCATCAATTTTTCTCTGCTCCTTTACCACCTTGTCGGCTAAAAAGGGTTTTTTTTACTCATATGCTACACATTTCGCAATCAGGCGGAACACTTGAATAACGTTGTTCACGAAATATAGTAGGGTGTCGACAGTTCACAACGTATTGTCCTCGAACCGGTCTCGTTGCAAAAGAGAGGAGTCTTACTACACTACCGTATTGCCAACATGACGGATATTCGCTTCTAAGAAACCTCTCTCTGCATCATTTATCGGTCGGCGCAAATTCATTGTAAACTTCCTCAAACATTCCATAGTCATAAAATAAGATAAATTGAAATAAAATTAAAAAACAAAAATTTAAACATTATTCAAACATAAAAAAATTATATTTATATGACAACTTTTAATTAAATGAAATAAATCAAATTAAAACAAAAAAAATAAAATAAGTAAAATAAAACAAAATAACGCAAAACAAAATAAAATAAAATAAAATAAAATAAAATAAAATAAAATAAAATAAAATAAAATAAAATAAAATAAAATAAAATAAAATAAAATAAAATAAAAAAATAAAATAAAATAAAACAAAATAAAATAAAATAAAACGAAATTAAATAAAATAAAATAAAGTAAAAACAATTTTTTTTTTCGTTCAACAATGCTAGAATTGGTTACTATTAATAATTAAATGCAAATTGTGTTCACGCTGTTTGTGATCTTTATTTCTCATTTGGAGCAATCATTTTTCAAGTGTTATTAAGAGTGGCGTTATTCTTAGCACAAAAATATGCACTTGTAATTATTAACCTACATTGAATGTATTTCGTTCAAAAGCTGGTGGTTTGTTCAGCATTGGAATAAAAATTAATAAATAACACCAACTTAATCCAAATTTTAGTAATATATGACTTAAGAAATTCAGAATAATTTCAAAATTAAATATTTAAAATGAACTTTATTATTAAACATCTTGCTGTAAAATTTGTCGGAATTAGTTTAAATAAAAAATTGTTAAAACGTCTAAAGTAGTCAGTATAGTATTGCGTCATATTTTTTTACCGTTTTGCGAAAGTAAATATATATATATATTCAGTACAAAGTTGTATAATATAATCTCCTCTTGCAGCTGTTTCAACGCAGCATTTTTAATATCAGCAAGAAAGTACTGGCTATTTGTATACATACATATACAAATAACTCTGTTGCAAACTTTATTTAAAAAAATATCTCATTCAATTACTTATTTCAAAACAGCTGTTAGTACTGAAATGTGTAGACTTTGTAAAAACTGTTTTTAAATATTTTCTACTTTAGTCACAAATTTTAAGATATTTTTTTTTATTTCCTCTGAACTAAACAAACCAAAATATAGTTTATCCAATATTTATTGCAATCTGTGTATTTACATTTGTAGGTACATTTAGCAAGAAAGATTTATAATTTAATACTAAGAAACTGAAGAAAATACAGGAATATAATTTAATGTCATGACCGGGAATTTAGCTTTTTTAAAAAGATATTAAAATAAATTCTCGACATGAAGCCCGAACACGACCCGAATTATTCAGCAATAACGCGCCGAATATCCGCTTCAATAGTATCGGTCATATCCGCGTAGACAAGCTGCTTCATAAACCCTCACAACAATTGTCTAGCGGTATAAAATCGCACAATATTTGCGCTGACCATGATTTTGGATATACTCATAACATACTCATAGCTCGATATGATTCTACTTTATCGGCAACCTTTCGGGATTCAGGAATTATTATTACGTCGGCTTCTTTTTACTGAGCAGGATCGAAGCCACTTTTAAGGGATGTGTTAAGCAGGTACGCTAGCCAAACACTTTTTTAGTTTATGAATCGTATTTTTAAGCCGGCTTTGGTGAATCCTTGTACTTGTGACAAACAAGGGACTTGAATACTGTTTTTGATGAGTTGCAAGCGTATTTGCCTTCTTCAATTTTCATCCCCTTATTGTTCTCCAAGCGAACAGTGGGCTGCGATAATATCTGTCGTTTGAGCTTTCTTGTCTCATCATATTGGAATTTTGCTGTTAGCTCACTGTTTAAGATGAGGAAGAAGTCTGGTTAGGCGGAAGCTGCTGGAAGTACGTGATAGTCAAAATATGGAGGGAGAAAGAAACCAGTTTTCTCTTGTTCAATTATATTATTTAATAAAGTCTAAAGTCTAAGAAGAATATTTATAATTTAAAATTTTCGGAAGTACAATCGCAATCTAAAATTTATGCTTCATATTCTAATACGTTTTAAATTATTCGATATTGGTTTAAAGCAGCATTGAATCGTAATGATAACTGTCGGGTTAATCGAAAAATTTCTAAAAAAAAAATATAAAATATTAACCTTAAAGCAGTTATGCAAATTTGGACATATGTTATTCAATTGTGGGGCACTGGTAGTAACTCAGATATTGAAATTTTGCAAAGATACCAATCAAAAAGTCTAAGATCGATTACAAATGCTCCTTGGTACATCACAAATATAGCCATCCATTCAGATCTAAATATGCCTTTCATTAAAAAAAAAAAATAAAAGATTTAGTACAACATACCTACGCAAGATAAGCAATCCCTTGGCAATACTACTAGATGTTACTGGATGAAAGCAATGAAACCATTAGACTTAAGAGATACCATGTTCTAGATCTTCAGTTTAGAAATTAACTTCGTTGTATTAAATTACTTATTATGAGAATAAATTGTTAATAATCATTATTATGTAGTCTTTTAGATTTTTACCCGAAATGAAAGGCTGTCGTTAATGTTAAGTCATTAACAGATAATGTTAAACGTTAAAATTGAAGTGTGCTGTTAAATCATAGCGAGCAGCCATCTTAACGACCAGTTTTTTGCGGTTTCAAAGTTAACGATTTCCTTTCGTTCTGATAACATGGCGCCGTAACTAAACAACTTTATTTCGTTAAATTAATTTTTCTTCGTAGTGAAACGAAAGCATATCAATGGGTTTGTTGAGCATCTCTAGTTTGAAGCTTTATGAGAAAAAAAAGAAGAAAAGGGAAAGCAAAGGCATTTTAAGTCACTTACAAATTTTCGAGACTCACAACTCATCAGTGAATCC